GGTCCCGGGGCGCCAGGAGGCTCGCCGGCTCGCGCGGGGCGTTGGAGGCGAGATGGCGAGGACGGAAGCCGCGCGGCTACCGCCTCCAACTTCAAACTTGCCTTCTTCGGCGTCTTCACGCCGCCCCAGCCCCGCCGCCCACGGCCCTCGCCTCACCTGCCCGGCTGCTCGGGAGCAACACGGTGGCGGGAAACACCAGCAAGAGCAGCAGAAGCAGGCGTGGGAGGAGTCTCATGGCGCGGCCGGTCCACTGTCCAGTCGCGTCCGCGAGTGTTCTCGGCGGCTCCGGCGGCAATGGCGTTACTCTTCATCCGGGCTCCGGAAGGGGCGGGGCAACGCACGTACCACGCAAGGGCCTAGGCCACGCCTCCTATCTAGACTACCGACTGCAGCCTACGTGGCTGCTCGGCGCGGAGTGGCGGAGAGCGTCAGCCCCGCCCTCGCGGTCACGTGGCTAGCGGTCCCACTCTGGAAGTTCCCGCGAGAGCCGACCTCCGGCGATAGTTCCTCCCACCGCTGGCTGCCTGCGGTTTGACAGTGGTTCGGCCGGGCCCTTCCCTTCGCCCCCAATTCGTCTGGGCTGTTTGTGGTTTATTTGAATAGCAATCCGCTTGGTCCTCTGCGCTGTGAAGTCTGCGTAGTTTTAAGTAACACCGGGCTGGAGGTGTGCGCAAGTGGCGTAGCGCGGGCCGGGCCGCCCGCATGGAGTGCCTCGGGGTATAGGAGGGCCTTGAACTCCTGCAGGGTCAGAAGGGGCAGCTTTGGACCCCTCCAGGGTCAGAGGAGTGGGGGAGGCGGCTTGGGACCCCTCCAGGGTCAGAGGTGGGGGAGGGGGCTTTGGACCCCTCCAGGGTCAGAAGTGGAGGAGAGGCAGCTTGGGGCCCCTCCAGGGTCAGAGGTGGGGGAGGCAGCTTTGGACCCCTCCAGGGTCAGAAGTGGAGGAGAGGCGGCTTGGGACCCCTCCAGGGTCAGAGGAGTGGGGGAGGGGGCTTTGAACCCCTTCAGGGTTTGGGGCACAGCCGAGTGGGTCACCGGTGCTGGTGGCTGTGGCTTCAGCAGCTACTCACTGAAGCAAAGTGGGAGGGTGTTTTCTGATAACTACAGCAGCAGTAGCAGCACCGTGGGTTCTACTTGGGACTTGTTCAGACTACCATCTAGGAAAAGTGCCGCAGAGACCAATAAAGCGGCATATCTGAATATTGTGCGGTGACTGCAAGGAAAATGGAAACATACAAAGTAAAAGGACCTGCACGACTGCCCTGCCCTGTCAAAGGCCAAAGCTTGGAGGGTAAAACATTGGCCCTGAGCTCACGAGTTTCAGCATTAGGAGACCCACATTCTCCATATTTAAGCAGCTATCCCTCAGAACTATGTTCACGTGCTGGGAATGTGGCTTAGTGGTAGAGTGCTTGCCTTGCATAAGTGAAGCTTTGGGTTCGATTCCTCTACCTCATAAACAGAAAGCCAGAAGTGGCACTGTGGCTCAAGTGGTAGAGTGCTAGCTTGAGCAAAAGGATCTCAAGGACAGTGCCCAGGCCCTGAGTTCAAGCCCCAGGACTGGCAAATAAATAAATATCTTCTCAAGCCAATCCTGAATTTATAGAATTAAAAGTCCTAGCTACTCTAGAGGCTGACGTGTGAGAATCATGGCTCAAAGCCAGTAAGGACTGGAAAAGCTGTGAGACTCTTACTTCCACCTAATTACCAAAATCCCAGAAGTGGAACTGTGGCTCAAGTGGTAGAGCCTTAGCCTTAGGCATAAAAATCTCAGGGACAGCGCCCAGGCCCTGAGTTCTAAACCAAGACTGACACACACCCACAAAAAATGTTTAAATCCTGTTTACTACATTAGTCTTCCCAGATATTTGACTACCTCCTCCCTCTCTGTTTTCCAGAAATATTGTTTCTCTCCAGTTTGGGCACACCCAGTTGATTCTCCACTTTTGTCATTTTATTCCTTTACAGTTTTAAGAGCAGAAGGTTATTCCCTTTGATGACTTCAGATTTCCCTTTTGGAGGAGGGAAGGGATAGTGGGAGAACCACAAAGGAAGGGGTAGCAATGCTCAACAAGAAATGTTCTCATTGCCTTACTCATGTAACTGTAACCCCTCTGTACAACATCTTTACAATAATTTTTTTTTTAATTTCCTCATTCTAGGCACCCAGTGGCTCACATCTGTAATCCTAGCTACTCAGGAAGCTAAGATCTGAGGATCACTGTTCAAAAAGCCAGCCAGGGCAGGAAAGTCCATATGACTCATCATCAATTAACCACCAGAAAACTGGAAGTGGTGCTGTGGCTCAAAGTGGTAGAGCACTAGCCTTGGGCTGTGGAGCTCAGGAACATCGTCCCACTGCTGACAAAAAAAAAAATCCCACACAATACAAACTCACAAAGTTCCCCATTTGTCTCCTGTGAGCATCTTTGCAGCCAGAGAGGGCTTATGCCTCTGACTCAGTGCCTAACTCCCAATAGAAAATAGTTACACAGGGCTGGGAAGGTGGCTCAGTGGTGGAGCACTTGCCTTGCATGCCTGAGGCCCTGGGTTTGATTCCTCAGCACCACATAAGCAAAAAGAA